CGTCTCCAACCCCTGTCTCCCCCCTCCCCTCTGTCTCCATTCCCTGTCTCCACCATGATGATCAGGACCAACCCGGGCAGCATAGGAGGGAGGCTACATCCAAGCAGATAAACGAATATAAAAATAATATTATTCCTGACACGAGAATGAAACTTGCGTCTTATGCGAGGAAGTCGGAGAGCTACACAAAAGACGATGTGGTTGTTTCTGTAAACAGTCCCACAAGCCTCAGTTCTGGACTAAATAGACTAGTGTTTGAAAAATAAAAAACTGAAAATGTCATGCCCATCGAAGATCAAGTAAAAAAAAAAAAAAAAAATTTTTACCGCATACCACACGCCATGATAATAAGAACATTGACTGACATATTTTTGTACAGGCCTAAAGTGCACGACACCTGGAGTGTTATAAAAAAAAAGTTCTAAACAAGAAAACGTGCGCATTTTTCTAAGTAAAAACCAGATACTTGAGCTGTTCTGAACTGCGAATATAATATGTATACATGGTTGTACAGAGTTCTATTTTATGTGTGAGAGGACAAAACAAGACCTAGCCATAGACAAAAGAGGGTGAACCACTTTTTCCTCTCATTGGCAACATTAACGAATCAAGTGGCACAAAGATCTACGAAGTCGGCAGAGCCAGTGTTATTTACAAGATAAATGGAAGCGGATATTTCTGTGGGTGTCTTGTTTTTGTGTTTTACGGCGCTCGCAACAGCATAAGGTCATATGACCCCGCGGGACACATTAAACATTTTCAATAGCTAGGAAATTTTAAATTTTGCCCAGGTGGCGGCCATCGATTTTGGACCACCAAGGGATCTTTAACGTGCGCAACTTGCACAAGGACCTCCAAGATTTTTCGCCCTTATCTGAGAAGGCTAGGTGCAGATCTTTCCTACCAGAAAGATCAGGGGTGTGGCTGAAAGACAGCAGAAAGAAGGTGCCAAGGAGTAGCAGTAGAAAGGCTGCAGAAAGAGTCAGGAGCCCAGAGGAGGGGGCAAAGGAGGTGAGGAGGTGGGGGGGGGGGGTGGAGACGAAAGCAGACGATTGAATATAGCAAGAGAGAAGGAAGGAGGAAAAAAGAGACAATTTTAGAGAAGAAAATTGTTCCGTCGCTACCGGGATTCGAACCCGGGACTTTTGAATGAGAGGTGAACACCTCAACCTCTCGGCCACGAGAGCCCCCCTGTCGGTGCCATTGAGTACAGCGGCCAACATCTCACACAGTGACGTCAACACGTGAAAAAGAGACGTGTGAATAGGAAATATTTTAATTCCTCATTGTCAAAAGGCGGGGACATCATGGAAACTGTTCGAAGAGGGTGCACAGGACAGGCTTCAGCTGGAGAAATGTTGTTGATGGCCTATGCTATAATGGGAGTTAAAAAGGGCAAGAGAGAGAGAGAGTCAAAATGTAGATGTCTAAACGACCTAAACACGTTTATTGTACCACTAGTTTAGTCAGTGTACATACCGCTCTGTGTTGTTTTTAAAGTAACAATTAGGCTAAAGAAATATATATGTTCTGTGTACAATTATTATTACTTATTTCAGGAGGGTGAGAAATTCCTGCACTGTAGGCAGGCTTCATTTTATACCTGTATAGCAAGATTCGTACGACTCGTACACAAAAGCTTTTAACAAAATGATCGTGTTTTTGTTGTTTGTTTTGTTTTGTTGTTCTTTTTGGGGGAGGGGGTTGTTGTTTTGATAGGGTGAAGAGGTTGTGGGGTGTTTGTCTTTTTTTTTGGTAGGGGGG